GAGAGAGAGAGAGAAAGACTGCGATAGTGTACATCTTAATGACGTTGCCCCCCGCATGCGTCCATCAGCACTGTTCTTGTTCTTGTAGTTGGTAAAGACAAGCCTAACGTCGGAGCCATCGTGGGTGGAGTGCTGGGCGGAGTGGCCGCTATCATCATTCTCGGCCTCATCATATACTACTGCTGCTTACAGTGAGTGTGGCGTGCGCGCGCGTGTGCGCGCGTGCGCGTGTGTGCGTGCGTGCGTGTGCGTGTGCGTGTGCTGTGTGCGTGTGTGTGTGTGTGTGTGTATGCGCTGCTTGCGCTGTGCGCGTGCTGCGTCGTTGCCGTGCGCGCGCGCGTGCGTGCGGTGCGTGCGTTTGTGCCGTGCGACGTGTGAGACTAGAGCAGACAGAGGAGAGGAGAGAGCATGCAGCAAGCACTAACGTGGCGATATACCAGGGCTACGTTTGCGTGGAGAGCCAACGGAGAGCGCTGCGTGCGATGCCGTGGTGGTGTAGTATGTGTTTGCGTGTGCGCGTACGTATGTGTACACGCGTGCGTGTTTGCGTGTGTGTGTGTGTGCGTGCGTGTGCGAGTGCCGTAAGCTTTCATAAGCTTATAAGCCATAAGCCTGGCATAACCATATATCTTTCCCTCCACCCTGCGTGCGTTTTAGCAATAACAACCATTCGAAGAACGTAGACTTTGAGAACGAGCCCGTGCCTTACTACAACAAGGGTTACGACCAGCACGAGGCAGACTACGATCACGCCGGAGATCACGAACACAAGTACGAAGACTTTGGTAAGGGTTCGCTACGTCCTGCTGTGTGTGTGGGGGAGAGTGATGTGTGTGTGTGTGGGGAGGGGTGTTGTGTATGCGTGTGGTGTGTGTGTGTGCTGTGTGTGTGTGTGTTGTGTGTGTGTGTGTGTGTGTAGTGAGTGTGTGTGGGGCGGAGGGCGTGTTTCGTGGTGTTGTCGTGTGTTGTTTTGGGGTGTGTGTGGGGAGTGAGTGCTTTGTGTTGTGTGGGGAGAGGCGCGGTGTGTGGTGTGTGTGTGTGCGTGCATGCGTGCGTGCGTGCGTGCGAGCGTGAGTGTGTATGTGTGCGTGCGCGCGTGTGTGTGTGCGCACGCGTGTGTGTGCGCGTGCGGGCGTGTGTGTGCGTGCGTGCGTGCGTGCGTGCGCGAGTGCGTGTGCGCGGGTTTGTGAGTGCGTGCGCATGTGCGTGACGACGTGGAGGGTTACGTGTGTAAAGGAAGATTCGTGTAAGCGGGTAGCTCACACAATCGATGACGAC